CCCCAATATCTTGAAGTCATTCCTCGGTGGTCTGAATTGGGTATTTATAGGAGTTGACGAAGCTCATCGTTTAAAAAATGATGATTCACTTCTGTACAAGACTTTAATAGACTTTAAGTCTAATCATCGTCTTCTTATTACTGGAACCCCTCTGCAAAACTCCCTCAAAGAGCTTTGGTCTTTGCTGCACTTCATCATGCCAGCAAAGTAAGGAATGTGATGGGGATTTTTTGTCGGGGGTTTGGTTTTTTTTTTTTGGGTCAAGTTTCATATGGTCAAATATTGTAGTGATCAGAGAATCAGTACAGATAAAGAATTGCATTGTGAAATACTTTACATATTTTTTATTTTTTTATAAAATAGATGCACATATTTAATTTCATGCTGCTCTTGATAAATTGTTTTGGTAGCAGCTGTCACTTTTTCTGTTTTAGCAGTCCAGAAAAAAGATGGATTGATCTATGGCTCAGAACCCTGAAAACATGCTTCATCTTAATTTAAAAGGAAAATCACATGGAAATAGAATGGGGCTGAGGATGTAGTCTTTATTGTTAGTACCATGAATGAATACAAGATTATACCACAATCCCTGATATCCAGTAGTTCATTCAGGCATATGGTGTGATTCTTGGGGTGGTTGGACTTCGATGATTTTTGTGGGTCTCTTCCAACTCAGGATCTTCTATGATTCTATCATTCAGGCAGCCAACTTGCCCTCATGGTTTGCATAGAATAGATTTACTGTATTGATGTTATTCTATACTGACCTCTGTTTCTGTCTGGAATAAATAAGAGCATGCGTTCCTTTCAGATATCTTGTAAATACAAAGCACTGTAGCTCCAATTAGTTTCAGAGCTACGCATTATATTGACTTTTTCAGAACCTTAAAAACAAAACCAGTAAGTTTGTTGTCTGGCACCTATTCTTCATTTGATCACAAAGTGCATTCTTTTAGTCTGTTAGCACATACCAAAGGATAATCATGTTTAAGATAGCCCATACAAGCTGCAAAAGGTATGTGGTCTGTCCTCTTGCACTTCCTCCACCTATACAACTGTTTTTTCGTACTGCTCTTGAGAAATATAATGGAATTTTTGCATCCTTCTACTTGGTTTCCATGTAGAAAATTAAAATGTTGAGTTTTCACTGGAGAAATTAAAATTGAGTAGTTTGGTTTGAATTTTCATTCTGCAAAGGTTTGTTAATTTCCATTCCCCTGTTTGCAGACAAAATATTTGGAATTTCTTGTGAGATGCAAATTGAGAAACTTACTTAATAAAACCAGAGGGGAGTGGTAAAGAGAAGTCCATATGTGTTTGTGCACTTGGTATATTTATGGTCTTTGTGTGTCTGTGTTCATGGCATGTCATTATTTTACCTTTATTCTTTTTATTTTGAAGATTTTATTCCTGGGAAGATTTTGAAGAGGAGCACGGGAAAGGGAGAGAATTTGGTTATGCAAGTCTTCACAAAGAACTTGAACCATTTCTACTCAGAAGAGTTAAAAAAGATGTAGAAAAGTCTTTACCTGCTAAGGTTGAACAAATTTTGAGGATAGAAATGAGTGCATTGCAGAAGCAATATTACAAGTAAGTAAT